GCATTTTTGTTTATTATTATAAAATATAAATAAAATATATTATTTATTAATAAAAAATATAAAATGAAAAACGTTATACATATTATATATTATTAATTATACTATTTATACTATATAAAATATTTTTAATATTCACATTTAAATCTATTTAATAATTTTTTTATTTTTTTAGATTTTTTTTTTTCTTTTTCTTTTTTTTTTCTTCTTCCTTTTCTTTTTCTTTTTCTACTACTAGTTTCTGCTTCATCATTATTATTATTATCATCATTATTATCGTTGTCATTATTGTCATTATTATTGTTATCATCATCTTGATTTGAGGTATTAGGATCATAAATTGGGATGGTCTTCTTATCCCACTTTATTATTTTCAATGTTCCTTTATTTAGAGTTCAAATAGGCACACCTTTTGAAACTTTTGTTTATTTTGTTTAGCATATATTGTAGAGATCTAATTTAAAGTTTGAAATTTTTTGGTGGCTTACATAAAAGATCAATTATTGGATCGATTCTTTTGTACAATAGCTTTTTTAATTATAAAATATTATTTGATATCATCTATTAATATTATGTCCGATAGGTGTAAAAATATACTATAATTATTAATCTTACCAAATTGAATCTCCAACATTTGCCCTTAATATAAATAGAAATTGTAAATGTTTGAATACTTCTACTTCTATCTACTGTAGTAGCAGCTGTAATGCTACTTCTATTTGTTGTAGTACTACTTCTATTTCTAATATTACTACATCAGTAATTATATTAATTCGAAAACTTTTGAAATTATATCGTAACATTAGATTTCAAAGGTTACTTCTTACACTGATAAAGGTATTATTTTTAATATATATTTGATTATTAATTTCATTATCAATTTCATTAATTTATTATTTATATATTATTTTTATTGATTATTATTTATATTTATTATTTATTGATTTATTATTGATTTATTTATTATTGATTTCTTTTTAATTATCATAATTTATTAATTATTATTAGTGTTTGAAGACATAAAATATTATTGCAGCAAAGATATTTTACAGCATTTGATGAAATGAATGATGCAATGAATGCAAATACATTGGAAAAATCAAATCCATCATCTGGAATATCCGCAGGTTAAAATAATAATAATTATTATTGTTCATTTTTACATTTTTATACAGGGTTAAACAGTAAGTATATAATATAATCCTAATTTCGCGGGCTTTTATGGATATTAATTTTTCAAGACATCCGGCTTTTAATATGGTTTTTTTGGATCAAAGAAATCCCGCGTAATCATGATGTTATTATATATTTGAAAATATATTGTATATAATAAAAGTTATTTTATTATTATTTTTTTAATTTTACAAAAATAAATAAAAAAATAAACTGTATAAAGGAATAAAAATTTCAAGTGCAATATGTTTTTTCTGTATTCATGCGCACACACATACACTGTTAAAAAATATGAGTAAAATTCAGTTTTACTAATCAGCATGTATTAGCAAATTAGTGGAGTTTTCTTGAACCATTGACAATATCTTTAATATCTTTGATACCATAAAAGCTATTTTACAACCACAAGCATATGTAGTAAAGAAAAAACTTCAAGCAGACAAACAATGCACAAAATAAGTAGCTTCGTTTATCCTCCGGTAAACCATCGTGTTCAGTGAACCCGAAATTCTAAATATAGCTTACTAAAAGAACATACTTGGATTCATATCTCCCATTAAACCTACCCACAGAGAATTGCTCAGAGTAAGTTGCACACTAATTTTTCTTGTTTCCTGAACCACAATCTATATCATAATCGACCACATTTCTTGCTGCTGGGTATTTGGGATTACATCATATTTAAATACATATATAAATTTGAAAATAAATAAATGAATAATATTATTGTGATAAAGAAATATATAGATGTTGAAATAAACAATGTTATAATGTCTAATAATAATATAATAATTATATTGGTGTTAACAGAAATGAAGCCATGTATTTAAAAGCGTAAATATTGTAGTCACCACGTCTCCCCCAGATAGAATTAGGATCACTATTTCTTTAATACCCCAATTCGCAGGAATTTCTGATATTGGATTTCTATGTATTAGTATTTCAGATGATACTATAAGCAACACTAAATAAGGTATTGCAAGGCAGCATAATCTAATAGCCATTGTTGTTATATTACGACCATCATAATCACCATCATCACCCTCATCATCACCCTTATCGCCATCATCATCACCTTCATCACCCATCAATACCGCAAATGTAAGAAAAATTACAAATAGAATTAATAAGTTAACACTTAAGGATATTAACGTGAAGATTCGCACCCATCCAATTGGATTGAGTGGAATCGTTAACCAAAAAACTCTCACTTTATCCCCACACTCTTGTTCGGGTAATTTCCATTTAATAGTTGTCCATATCCATGTACTATAACATGTTATCAACAAGGAAGCAAATGAGATTAGTAATCCTAGTTTTGAAAAAATCCTCTTTTTAGGTATTAAAAATAGACTTGTTAATGAAACAAATATTAATAATGACACTAAACAAGTTACTTCTATTTGAAATAAATAATGTAGGTTGTTGTTGTAATATTGAATTATGGCTGATATTATTAAGATGAACGATGTTCCCACCGGGAATAACACAAATTTTATATTTTTTTTGGTTTGAAAATAATTTTAAAATTACTAATGAACTTTGTACGTATATTGATACTCTTATTCTTGGGCTTACTATATCAGTACCTGGTATTGTACATTCGGATACCATAGTGATATAAAATAATTAAGTTCAGTCGAAAATACAAGTGAAATTGTCAAGTGAAAATAAATCAACTGAAGTTCAATAGTAAATACCTTAGCGTGCAAGAGAAGATATTTATATTATCAAAAACGCAATCCGCCTGGATGAATACGTAAACTTATTTTTGTTCACAAAAATCATCATGCGATAATGTAAATTTATCAACTCATAATATTTATCAGTGTATCGTTATACATGTTATTCGTCATTTTCATTCATTATCAATCTAATCTCGACACATTTTATTTATATATTTAATTCATTTAATTTTCTTGAGGGAACCTTTATTCGTGGTATGGTAAACTATATACAAACAAAACAAAGTTTAAAGAACACTTTCGTAAATGAAGTTTGAACCCGTGATTAAACATTTTTCATTTAACTGATTGTTTACATATGGAAATATGATTTTAATCCGGAAATGGAAACCATTTCATAATAAAATTGGTTAAATTTAGCTTTGGACTCAATGCAACACGCAAAATTATAAACCATTTACTTATAGATTTATATGTTAATTATTTGTAATCTTTTTATCAAAAATTAGAACAGATAATCCATTAAAACTTGAAACCATAGCAACTTGAGACAATCAAGGTAAATTTATTTATAATTTTTATCTCTTTTCACTATAATTTATATTTGTTTATTTTATTTTATTTTATCTTTAAAGATATAAGAATTATAAGATATAATTACAGATTAAGTCTTATACCTCAAGCACTAGAAAATCCATTTAAAGTGGATCATTCATATTATGATACATTACCGTTGAAAGAATGTACAATTAGTACAGGTGCAATGGTTGATTTTTTACAAAAAGTTTACCTAAAAGATACTTCTTATGCTAATAAAGGTATTATTTTTAATATATATATTTGATTATTATCAATTTCATTAATTTATTATTTATATATTATTTTTTTTTGATTTATTATTTATATTTATTATTTATTGGTTTATCATTTATTGATTTATTATTGATTTATTTATTATTGAATTATTTTTAATTATTATAATTTATTAATTATTAATTATTATTAGTGTTTGAAGACAAAAAATTATTGCAACAAAGACATTTTACAACATTTAATGAAATGAATGATGCAATGAATGCAAATACATTGGAAAAATCAAATCCATCATCTAGAATATCCGCAAGTTAAAATAATTATAATAATTATTATTATTCATTTTTACATTTTTATACAGAGTTTAACAGTAAGTATCTAAGTACATACATAATGTTATTTTACAGTATATTTGAAAAAATACCTCAATTTATCACACGGCTCCTAATTGGTCGCCCATGAATTTTTTTATTGATATCTTCACAGCTTATATTCTTATGGCTGATATTTTCACTGCTGATCTTTTAACAACAATGAAAATATCCGCCATAAGAATATAAACTGTAAAAATCATTAAAACATTAGAATCCGTGAGATATATCAGTTATTACCCGTATTTGTCGTCGACATCATAAAAATCACAGGTTATTAGAAATATCATAATATCTTAAATAACCCGTGATTTTTCATGATATCTATGATAAAACGTGAAATAACTATTACATATTGTATATAATAAAAGTTATTTTATTATTATTTTTTTAATGCAATATAATTTTTTTTTTTTATATTCATGTATACACACACACACACATTGTCAAAAATATGAGTAAACTCAATTTTACTAATCAACATGTATTAATAAATTATTGGAGTTTTCTTGAACCTTTGACAATATCATTAATATCTTTGATATCTAAAAAAAAAATTAAAAGTTACCATAAAAGCTATTTTACAACCACAAGTACATATAGCACATATATGTAGTAAAGAAAAAATTCCAAGTAATTAACAGACAAAATAAGTTGCTTCGTTTATCCTCCGGTAAGCCATCGATTCCAGTGAACCCAAAAGATTTGAAATCTAAATAAGCTTACCAAAAGAACATACTTGAATTCATATTTCCCAGGAAACACCATTAAACCTACCCATAGAGCATTGCTCAGAGTAAGTTGCACGCCAACACTGACTTAGGTGAAAGTATGCAAGAACTTATTTCCTACACACTGTTAACCGATACCTTATCAAATTTTCATTTATCCTAAGTTTCTATATCCCATGTAGAATAAAAGTACGATCCTAGAGAGAGCTTCTGATAATATTTACTTTGTTTTTTCCAAAGATTGATAATTATCTAAAGATACGCAAAGAAAGATGCAATGAATTTGAATCGTATATATATAGCATATACTGGAATAGCAAATATCATATATCATAGGAAGAGTTTGATTTTTTTTCCTTAGACTTCTTACTTTTATTAATGACACTAGTACAGGTAACCAAGAAAGAAATAAATTTATTGATAAAAAAATGTATCATGATGACGATTGACTAATTGCAGAATATAAAATTTATTGTTATGTATATATAAATATGAATAATATTATTGTGATAAAGGAAAGGAAATAAACAATGTTATAATGACTAATAATAATAATAATAATAATATAATTATATTGGTGTTAACAGAAGTGTAAAAGCGTAAGTATTGTATCATTACGTCTCCACCAGACATAATTAGGATTACTATTTCTTTAACACTCCAATTCACAGGAATTTCTGATATTGGATTTCTATGTATTAGTATTTCAGATGATACTATAGTCAACACTATAAATGGTATCGCAAAGCAGAATACAAGTATTGCTATTCCTATTTTCTCATCATTACCTTCATCACTACATTCAAAAATTCACCCCGCGAATATAACAAATAAAATAAATAAGTTAAAACTTAAGGATACTAATGTGAAGACTCGCACCCATCCAGTTGGATTGAGTGGGATCATTAACCAAAAAACCTTCACTTTATCTCACACTTTTGTTCGGGTAATTTCCATTTAATAGTTGTCCATATCCATGCACTATAACATGTTATCAACAAGGCAGCCAATGAGACTAGTAGTCCTAGTGCTGAATAAATCTTCTTTTTAGATATTGTGGATAGACTTATAAAAGCACAATATGCCGCTAGTATTAATAGTGATGTTAAATAAGTTACTTCTATTTGAAACATATAATGTAGGTTGCTATTGTGTTCACAAAAATCATCAGGCGATATTGTAATGCTCAAATAACATTTATCAGCTCATCAGTGTATCGTTATACATTTTCATTTTCATTCATATATAATTATTATCAATCTAGTCTATGCACATTTTATTATATATTTAATTCATTTAATTTTCTTGAAGGAACCTTTATTTCCATTGAAAAGATGGTGCATCATTTCATTATGTAAAGATATATTGTCTTGATTTGTTTCATGTTTAGATATTTTTTTTTTTTGCAGAAAAGAAACAAAAATTAGAATACAAAATATAAGATCAGAATTTCCCCCAAAAGAATCATCTGGTATATAGCTTCATATTTCAAATCCACAAAAAATATACAACATTGAAAACCTGGCCACAAGAATGCAAAAACTCACTGGTACAAATTAGATTATAGATATTAATAGTATTATAAGTAAATATATTTCATCTTTTCCAATTTCACGAGATCACAATCTTCCAAAGTAATTTTATCTTTATTTGATAAAATATAATCTGTAAGCAGATAAAATTTGACCTTGAGTAGGTATAATTAGATAACCAATCACAATATATGATAAAGAAAATATTATGTTAAGTAATTACCATTCATATTTACTGTTGCTGAAAAATATTTAATCACGGGTTCTAAAACTTCATGTACAAAAGTACCATATTAATTACCATTTGGTCCAGGATTACACAATAAAATGCAAAAAAAAGACAAAAAAAATGGTGAATACGCGTACGCAATGTGACAAGAATCATGTGAGAATTAAAAAAATGATAATGCTAATTAATAAACATTGGGCAAATCATTTACTTATATAGATTTATATATTTATTTTATATATTGATTATTTGTTATCTTTTTAAAGTTGAGATAATCAGGATTATCAAAAATTAGAAACAGATCATCCATTAAAACTTGAAACCATAGGCAAGGAACAAATTATTATGAAAGGTTACAAATAATTTCGTATATTTCGAATAGTTATAGTACCATTATTTTCTCCTGTACAGTTTATTGGATACAGGCTCCATGATGGTAATATTTCTTTCCAGTAACCTTTTTCTCAGTTTGGTCAAAGGGGACAGTGGAGGCATGATCATCAGTTATCTTAGACAACTAGAACAACGATGTGTTATTTTAATATTTATTAGATTATAGTCAGTTTTGTTAAATGTGAATTGTATTATGTATTATGGTTATATATTTAATAAGGCATAATTTCATTGATAATATATATATATATATATATATACAGTATATACTTGTATTTTATATTTTAATTATAACCAAAAAAAAAGGATATTAAAATTTTCTTTGATAAGCTTGTTACATCCAACAAATTAACCATGGAAGCTGAAGGAGATGAAAAAATTTGATCTAATATCACCACCTTGTGAATCAATAAGCTCTTCGATTAAAATATGGATTTAGTTTTGATTTCATTATCATAATCCTCTTCTTCATCTTTCATTACTTGTGAAAATGATTGCTTGTTACAAACTCCATCAACCCTTTATTGGAACTGTAATTGTAACATTGGTTGTAAACACTCGTGAAATGTGATGTACATATTTCCTACTGCAAATTTTTATTAATCCCTATTCTCGACAGACAAATTTCTTTACTTAAAAAAAAGAATCTTTCAAACTATACATGTTTTCAAAATTGATTTCTGATTTTTGAGGTATTTCATCTTTTTAAGATTTTTGAGATATCTATTCCATATATGGAAATAAAAAAAATACCCAGTTTGATATATTTTCAATCAAAGAATTTATATGGGTGGTCAAAAAATTTTGGATTTTAAGTAAAATTAAATCATCTTCTATGAAAAACTATTTCAACTTTTGGATCCCAAAATATTTCAACTTACTATAATAGCCTATTTTGCATACAAGTATATTTCATACATGCCTATAGGTTGTGTAGGTACCAATCTCCTTCAAACATCTTTAACTAATTTTATTATGAACTACAGTCATGCTATTAATATTAGCTGAAGTTTTAATTGCACAAATTCACAAATGGAAAAATTATAATTAAAACTTTAAAAATTTAAACAGGTACCAAATCTAGTTGCACAAGATCTAATCACAATTAATATAATTTGGACCACTTCATATCAATATATAGTTTATTTACCATTAAACATTTTTATTACAGTGCGTATAGGTTATTTTTTTCTATAAATTTTTGTTGAAAAATAAATTAATTAAAAATAAACTAAATGACAAATTGGATTGAGTATTTGACACTTTATTATCTATCATTCCCATGATTCTCATGATGAGAATGTTTTAAATTAAAATTTTTTTGATCCATTTTTCCTTTAATTGTATTAATCTATTTATTATAATTTTTCTGTAAAAAATTTATTGCATCTGTATATAAAATAAATAATTAATGAATTTGGAATTACCTTCTCATTTTTTGATAATAACTGTCTAATGATTTTTTTTTTGATTCTTTAAATAACTTTCATTTAAGAAAAATAAAAAAATTATAAATCATAAAATAAACAATATGATCCACCTAAGATCAGCACTAGTCATTTAAGTTTTTTCAGAAATATTTTCTCCTATAATAAACTTTTTTATAAATGTTCATAGATGAAATGAATCTTGCCAATTTTTGTGCATTAATTGTTAATCCAGATTTTACATAATAGTGCCAATCTTAGACAGGCACATCTTAATCGTTGGGTACAGTTTTAAAAATTTTGAAGAATCAATTTTTTCAGCAATAAGAAAGCATCTTTAATTTTTGAAAAACTACTGAAAATGCTCAAATAACAGATATTAAAATTATATCTATAATTATATTGTGATAATTTATACTTGCCTATACAGTACATGCGCAATGCCTTGATAAAATATATCCAAATTTTATTGACAAATGGTGTGGACAGATCAACAATTAATAATATTGTCACAAATGTGCAGAGTATTTTGAACACTTACACCTATCAGTCTCAGAGTTTGTCTCACACAAAATAATTTTTTAATATGCTCTATCTGCCAGTAGGTCAAGCAATCCGTTGATCTAAACTTGCCTATCTTGAAACAGATAATAAATATATAATTCTTTATTTTCAGTCTGAAGGCTTAGTGAGTAAGGTGGAGTAAAAGTGTTAACACAGTATCAAATAATATTTAACAATATTTCACAATATAATAACACAAAAGATAAATTTATTAAAATATAAAAGATACAAATTTAAAAGTAAAGTATCATTTAATGACAGAAATATTACAGGTTACATGTCTATTTCACTGTCTCCAAAGGAAGTTTACTTTTCTATCTAATAATAATAATATTCAAACTATCTGTAATTATTAATTAACTAAAGTCTAGAAACTACTAAGACTACTGTTTTCTATCTCCAACAACTTCATTTTTTTTATACTTTTTCACCTTCATTCAACCTTTGTACTTCATCCTTCATCCTCATATGTTATCTTTCAGATGACAACACAAGTTATTATCCTTGTACAATCATCTTAGTGTTACCATTTATCATCTCCTGTGATAATTCACATGCTTATGAAATGACATTGCCACAATATATTACGTATGACAATTTGTATTTTATCTTTTGAAAAAAAAACTTTTTTTTATAAACAATGTGAATAATGTTTACTTCTTAACCTTGCTTCTTGTCAAACTTAAACAAATGCCAAGGTTATTAAGAAAACTATTTAGAAATTAGATCTTTAGAAATATTAATGACATTTATATTTTATAATTTTATATTGTGTCAATATTTTCATAATAATGTATAAAATCTAATAATTATTTTAATTTGAGATTGTTATGTATTCTAAGTATCATTTCCCTTCTAGGAACCCTAGGAACTGCATTCTTTTGTAAAATTCTTAATTTACCTTATTATTATTTAAGAAGAATAAAAATGTTTAATATTTATAATATTTACAAAGTGATCTCTATTTTCTATATTTGAACTTGTTTTACTTTTTTACCTCGATCATGCCTAAAGAATTTCACTAGTTAACTAAGCAGTAAATATATTTCTATTTTAAGTATTGTTTTTTTATAAAAATCAGGTCATGTTCTAAATAAGATTATACTTTGTTAATAAATTATAAGATTAAAAACTAAATTCGAGTTATTTTATCATGAACTGTATCGAGATAGATTCAATAGGTAAGTTATAACCAATCTTCTAAATTCTGACACGGATAGAATGTACCCTTATGAATTTAAAGTGGCAAACCAAGTTTGTAATTATATCTAATATGTGATTTATTTTGAAGAATGAATTATGAATTTTAAAAATGATTTAAATTCTATTGATTAATAAAAAATTCATTGATTCTATCATCAGTAAATTTTTTTAGGCGTAAATTACACCATTTACAAAAAAAAAATCCGTTTTTGACTTCTCTCGCGATTTACGTAACAGGGAACGATTTTCTACTAAAATATTTCTAAGATAAATCAAAAGCCCTGGTTCCTGGTTACATGTAAATATATGTTTCATTCCTGTAGCTTCAATATTCATCGAAATATTCACGCTTAAAGTTGAACGTCCGTGAAAAATTTCACAAATAAATTTTACGTAATATTACGACACTTAAGAAAATTTTTCGAAAATTTCCGTAAAATTTTTCACGGACTTCCGAATTTAAACGTGAATATCTCGATGCATATCGACGCTATAGGAATCAAACACATATCAAAATGTAGGCAGGAACCAGAAATTTCAATCTATCTTAGAAATACTTTAGTAAAAAATCACTCCATTTCACGCAAATTGCAAATGAATTCAAAAACGGATTTTTTTAGGTGTAAATTTCTGAAATATTTATATAATATTTCGACAAAAAAAATTTCTGATTCAGGTATATTTACCTGTATTTAACCAGGTCTGAAAATTCTACCTGGTTATATGGCCTACCTGCAGGTCACACAGATAAAGCCTACCCAGGTC